TCACTCAGGGTCCAATCAGGCTGCAGGCAGTGTTTAATTGGACCTCTGTGAGGATTCCTCCAGGTCTTTGGCTTTTGATCATTGAGCAGTTCTTGGAAAAACCTGCCAGTGCTAAGCCCTAGAGAACCGCCAGCTGTCTAACCTTCGAACGTGTGTGTGCTTTACTAATTACACTCAATCGCTCGGAGATCTGCACATATCTCACGTCTGTTTGCTTGTTTAAAGCCTACACTCTATCACCCAACTGCCACACACTGCATAAAACTTTGAGAGGGTACTTTTAGACACTTTGAGAGAAAATGGAGACTTCCTTATTCACCAAATATCATTTTACGGTTCTCAAAAGTTAAGAAAGGTTTCCGTTGTTTTACATTCTGATAAAAATTCTCACAAAACTTTCAGTTGCATCTTATGCAACTGTGCTGTTGTGCAACCATGAAAGTGTCCTGTTTTCATTCATTCTAAAATTATTGTACAGGTTGCTATTACTTTAAATGACTAAACACTGATTTCTAAAGACTTTGGTGGTAATACCTTACATGTAACCCCTTTTTGAAGTAATGCTTTATTAAAACTTCACCATAATGCCCAAGTTCTGTTTTCAAATGCATAACAGGTGTAACTTTTCTTCTTATTTATCAACAAATAGAATCATCACCCACACTGTCTGTACACTGCAATCGAGCAGTAAGCACAAACTAGATTGCTCAAATGAATATATCTACAGTAATTAGTTACTTTTTTAGGAGTAATGCAACAATGTAACTTTTAAAAGTAAAGTTTTGCACTACTTTGTGTTTATGATGGGTAAATCACGTACCGTATCTCCAAAGCCTGAAAAATTTTCAAATTACAAAAATGTAACGTGGGACTTTTTGGATTTTGTTCATATGAAATTGATTGGATGGTAAAACACATTGGCATTGCATACATATAACAGATGGTTAGAGGAGGGGCATACAATTAAAAGGATTTGGGTGATGTCAAATGAAACTTATTATATTTTGATCAAAGATTCCAAACACATTTTTTGGAATATATGTGTGCTGATATATTGTACAATCTGGAAAACGAAGTATATGAGGTGAGTTTTGATTTTGTATTGACTTATGGTTACAGTTGATCTCTTTGACAAAGTGCACATTTCTTGTCACTTGACCTCTTCTCCTTCTATCCAAGAGAGAGGACAGTCACCTGATGGATCTGAACAAGGAAGGGGGAGGAGGCGATGGAGTAAGAAGCGAGGATTAGACTGTTACCCAGGCATCATTTTCCTAACGAGGCAAAGCAGATGCTGGCTGATTGAAAAATAACGGATCCCCAAGGGCCGTTCCAGCAATGAGTCGTCAATGAGGCATGTCCTGAGAGAACACAAGTGTGAGAAGAGAGCGGATATTGGCTGGGATGAGTGGAGAGGATATTGAAAATGACTGGCTGGTCTCTCCATGGAAATCCAGCAAAAAAACAAAAATGAAGCAAGCAGGTGGACAAAGGTTCAAATCCAAAACCAAAAGATACAGCCCAAGGGGATAGAATCACAGGATGAGAGATGTCCAGCAAACACGGCAGTCAACAAGTCAGGGTCGAAAGACAGAATTCAAACTAAATAATTCTGCATGATTCTAAGTTACACTAAAGTCCTTAAGCTTATGTAGGTTATGTAGCAAAAAAACAAAAATGAAGCAAGCAGGTGGACAAAGGTTCAAATCCAAAACCAAAAGATACAGCCCAAGGGGATAGAATCACAGGATGAGAGATGTCCAGCAAACACGGCAGTCAACAAGTCAGGGTCGAAAGACAGAATTCAAACTAAATAATTCTGCATGATTCTAAGTTACACTAAAGTCCTTAAGCTTATGTAGGTTATGTAGGAAACTGTGTTGGCAAAGGCACTAACAATGCAGGCAAACTGTTCAATATTTCAACTTTGTTGTCATGCCATCACAATAAAGTTAAACCCTGTAATCTCAGGTAAAATTCATACAAAATTTGCATATGCACATCAAAAAGGTGGATGAATTACATTGAGATGATCAGCTCTAATAATACAACATTTTCTATCAAATAAAAATGCTCTGCGCAAAAAAGGTATGGTCATATGAGAGAAGTTCTGGTGATATTTGGTTAACAAAAAGTCCCTTTTCCACTGTTAACAGTGTTGTGATGCGTGAAGCACCTCTCAAACAGAAGTCACTTTCAAACCAAGAAGCTTTCTGTTGGTCACACTGAAATTATAAGAAAATAAATCTGTGTGGGGAACTTTTTCACCCTCACATGAAACTCCAGATGATGTGGATTTCTATTGAAATTACTGGATTTTAAAAATACTAATCCAAGTAATTTTTTCAGTATATTGTACTTTTGCATTAAAGCAAATACATTTTGTGTTAAGGATGTTTAGTTATTTTTTTAATGTTAAATAGATTAGATTTATTTTCATAGAATGTATTGTAAATATTTTTAGGTGACATTCATACTTAAGAATAAAAATAAATAGTTTTTAATATAATAATAGATAGCAATGGTAAATGTGACCGTATTTTAAGAATCAGTGTGATTTATTGTGTCTAGTGATTTGTAATTCTTGAGTAAATGTAATTTTATAGTGTTATAAACACCTCTTTATGTATAAAAACGACTTCAGTTGCAGCTTCTGTTCCACCTTTGCAGTGTAAAGACCTAACAAACCCGATTCAGCTAATCACATTTGTAGAAATCTGAATTGAACATGTCAAAGAAATAGAAACAAAATATGTGTCTGTATAACTGCGTCTGAGCATGTGGACAGTTTAGACTAGAATCTCTGAGTTGTCATCTCATAATTGTCATAAATTCAACGTGAATGCAGTATCAGTAGAGTTTAGTCCCAGAGTTTGCAAAAGTTTAAGATGTGGATGTCCTCTGCTTTAAATTATGTTTCATGATGCAATGAACCACTTGATTTTCTTTCATTATTGAACTTTCACATCAAATGCCGTTCTGCAGTGTCAACTGTACTAATGGTGATGTGAGTGTCAGTACGTTCTTATAGCAGTGTTGTCATGCACACTTAATGAAGTAACTATACCTTGTGTCGTCCCAGTCTGGGCTAAGTCCACTGAGCGAACCACGGGAGTCAGCCACAAACTTGTAGACTACAAGCAGGCAGTCTCTACACAACTGGACGACACGCTGGCAGCACCTCAGCTCCTGCGCGGTCACCACCTCACTGCTCTTACTGAAAACACTCTCCCATGATGACCTGCTGGAGGAAAATACACACATAAATCCTACAGTCTACATTATATATCATGGTATGCATACTTTTATAACATAGTACCTGCCGCTGAACACACAGCCCCTCAGCATGAGTCTGCTACCAGCACACTTCACGGTTGGGATGTTACTCTGCAGGTGATGAGCAGTGCCTGGTTTCCTCCAACATGATGCTTGGAATTGAGGTTCATCAGACCAGATAATCTTGTTTCTCACAATCTTAGGGTTCTTTAGGTGCTTTTTTGCAAATTCCAAGTGCGTTTTCATGGGTCTTCACTGAAGAAAGGATTGAGTCCTGCCACATCACCATAAAGCCCAGATCAGTGGAGTGTTGCAGTGATGTTTGTCCTTCTGTAGGGTTCTCCTGTCTCCACATATGATCATAGAGTTCAACTAGAGTGACCATCAGGTTCTTGGTCACCAGTCTAACCAAAGCCCTTCCCCATCGATTGCTCAGTTTGGCCAGAAGGCCATCAGCTCTAGGAAGAGTCCTGGGCTG